AAAAAAAAAAAAAAGAAAAGGACCCTTCGGGTCCCGTGTGCCAATGCTCTCCTCAGCGTGGGATGCAGCAAACACAGGCACCTCACGCACCAAGCCCAAACTGAGAGTCATTTTCGGGGCCTTCTTGGAAGCCTGACTGTCCAAAAAAGATCCAGGGAAGTCTGAGTTGAGCAGAAGGTCTGGAAGGTCTCCTTTGTGATGAGAGCCATTTCCAGCTTGGTGTGGGCCTCACTCCACAGTGAGTGTGTGTTCATGGTCTTTGACTCGATCTCAATCCTGGGGCCGCCTCCAGATACCAGGGAACAACCCAGGGTGCAGGAGAGTGTCTGGCCTGCTGTACCCTGGAGCAGCCACCCTCTGTTCCTTAAGCCCCAACTGATACAGTCACTGAAGCAATGACCTTCTTATTCTGACCCTCCAAGTCTTGTCCTTGGTGTGAGATAGATGAAAAGACCAAAGTGCTCGCCTTCTTCAGGTGCGGTGAGCCACTGCTCCAATGTCATCTTTCCAGCCTTCGTATCGAAACTGCATCCACACACCCAATATTCCTGACCCTCCTCCTGCGATTTTCTCCAGAGTACATACCAGCTTCTAATATAGGCCATATTTTACTTTCTTATGTTAACTAATCATCACTCCCCATGAAAACATAAGTTCCATAAGAACAGAGGTTTTGCCTCTTTCATTCACTGCTGATTCCCCAGAACCTAAATTAATTCCCTGGCACTTAATAGGCCCCTTGATAAAATTCACTTAATTAATATATGGAGAGTTCTGACATAGTCCAGATTACTATATTTTGGTGGAGTAAAGAGGAAGGTATTTTAAGTCAAAGTGCACATGCCAACTGGTTTTTAAGATGCCAGTGAACCATCTGAGTTTTCTGTAATTTACTTTTGGTTTCCTGAGTTGGAGAAAACAGGTCTTAGAAGGTCTCAGAGGCAGCTTAGACAAGTCCAGAACAGAGGATATTTTGTTAAAAGTGAATAAAACAGACACACATGATCTGTATTTCTCTCTAAATTTACATAGATTTAACTATGAATGAAAAATACTCTTCAGGCAACACGAGTTTTGGGTTTCATCAAACGTAAATGCTTTGAAAACCAGTTCAAGATGTTCACAAAACAAACAAAATAAAACCACTAGAGCAGGAAATAATATTCTCACTTTTAAGACTGGAAATATATTATTGTATAATCCCTCCCTGCAATCTGATTATAGTGACATTCAAAGGGCCAAATCAGATGAAATTTTTGACCATCTTTGTACCTCCGGGCTAGCACTTCCCTCCATCCAGTGTGTAAGGTGGGGAAACGACAGTGCCGCCAGCCAGCGCGGTCACGTGTGGCTCAGCCTCGTCAAGGCTTCACTCCTGGCTGATTACTCTTCCAACCTCAATTTTCTCTCACCAGTCCTGTCTCCTTTGCCCTAAAATCTCCTGTAATCAGCTTTCTCTCCCTTGCTTCTTTCTCCCATTTCCTCAGCAGCACGGCTGGCATGCTGGGATGTTGTTGAGAGGGCTTTGTTTTTGGGGATGGTTTTAACCCTCACCGTGGGCTAAACTGAGAAGGCACAAACCAGCTAAAAGAAAAAACAATGGGCCGGAAGCAAGCCTGTACTCTGCAAGCCTCTATTGTTGGTCATCAACCTAATTCTTTTCTTTTTCTTTTTTAACAAAAAAATTTTTTTTCATAGCATCAAAGATAGAAAGATATAAGACACTTACATTCTGGAGCAGGATCTGATTTTAAAACATTTAACTGCTGCTATTACAAAGAGCATCCCAGCCCTGCTGCTGCTTAGCTGTCTGGGCTGGCTCTGGGCCAAGGCCCTATTCGCTTGCTCATTTCTTTCTTTCTCTGTCCCGGCCCCCTCAAAGCCTGAGGGTGGGAAGGACTGCGTGCCAACATCTTCAGAATGCTCAGCAAAATGGGTAAAGGTCTGGGAAAGCTGGGCCCAAGTGAGCAGAAGGGAGTAGGAGTTGACACTTTTAAAGAGGGTGTCTGTTTAATGAGACAGTGAAACAACACAACTAACTCCTAGAAGAAAACACAGGAAAATATTTTCATGACCTTAGAATAGACAAAGATTTCTTAAACAGGATAAAGCATTAACCATGACAGGAAGATGAGTAAGTTAGACTTAATTAAAATTAAGAACTTTGTTCAACAAAAAAGTAAAAATTCAAGCTCCCTAGGAGAAGGTATTTGCAATACATCTAGCTTGACGAAGGACTTGTATCCAGAACATACGAAGAACTCCTAGAAGCAGTAAGGAAAAGAAAATCTTCATTTTTAAAAGGGGCAAATCCCGAGCAGGCGCTTCCCAGAAGAGACTACCCAAATGTCCACCTTGTGTATGAAGAAGGGCTCAACCTCATTTGTCAGCAGGGAAACGCAAGTCATAACCACAAGGAGATACCACAGCACAGCTACACAGTGACCAGGAGTAAAAAGACAACATGGAGCATTGGTGAAAATGCAGAGAAATAACACATCTTTCAAAACTGTACAACTGCTTCAGAATGCGTTTGGCGCTATCTCCTGTCCTTGAATGTAAGCAGACCCTATGGCCCAGGAATTCCATTTCTAGGTGCAGAACCAGGAGGAGGAGCACGTGCTCCTAGAGACACGCATAAGAACATATCAGCACAACTTACAATAGCCCCAAACTGGAAATAGCTCATCTGTCCGATACTAGAGAGGGTCAGTGTTGGTGTGATCATACAATGGGTTACTAAATAGCAAAGAAAAGGCACAAACTCCCGCTGTGTGTGACCAATGGATAAATCTTAACAACACTGTGTGAAAAAAGCCAGATGCAAATACTACAGTTTTCTATTCCACTTATATGAAGTTCAAAGGCAGGCAAAACTGACATAACATCGAGGGATGCATGCTTTTGTACAAAACTGTAAGGAATACAACTGAGGACAGCAGTTCTCCCTGGAAGTGGTGGGAGAGCTCGGCTGCAGAGTCCTGTGAGGGGCTGGGGAAACCACCAGCGCTCTGTCGGCTGTGAGCAGTGACCACATGGGTTTTCTTTTCACAGTAATTCATGAAACTGTAATTTCTACTTGGTGCCCTTTTATCTCTGTGTGGGGTATTTCATAATAGAAAAGTTTAAATTTGGATTAGGTATTAGTTCTTTGTCTCAACTTCACAGAAAACAAATACTATCCTGGTAAACCAAAACTCTTAAAGCTACATGTAAACAAATCTCAAAGTAACAGAAATATTTTGAAGGCCCACCTATGTGGGACCTTTATGTGAATTAGGAAAAGGCACCCCCTTTGGGAAGATGATTTAACAAAAGCTGTCTCCCTGGGTGGAAGCAGCCTTTCAGACACCCTTTGTGGGGAGTTTCTATCTCTGAGCAAACAACAAGGTACCTCTGCCCACAGGAGACGCAGGTCTGCACCAAGGTACATGGTGAACTGGGTGGGTACAGACGGACTTTCTGTCCCACCTGCCTGGGTGCCCTCATGCAGTTCCCAGGTAGTGGCAAGCGCTGCCTGGAAATCCTGCCTAGGAGAACACAGAGACCACAATTACACGCACACTGGCCCATTCACATGCTCACACAGAACATGCCACTGCCCAGAGCCTGTTGGAAACTGGTGGACACTTTCCCTTACCGCATAACCTTCTGTCTTCTTCTGACACCATTTTAGGAGAGCATTGCGCTTGGAGCCACCATATTCCCGGGCCAAGGCAGCCAGAGGGTCTCTTCTCTCCACACTAGTTATAAAAAAGAGCACAGAGTCAAGATAAGATGCTAAATTTTAGAACCGTCCAACATATAATAAATACATAGACTGGAAAAGCAAAAGTCTATGTTTACCCAATGAGACTCTAAAGAGACAACCAAATGGGTCACACTGAAGCGTTTTTATTATGTTTCATGGTATAAAAGAAAATTAAATTGTGCTTCTTGGCTAAAAGAAATCAGGGGAGAGATTTTTTTTTTAACCCATCTGTTGCTTCATCCATTTAGCCATTTATTTATTTACTGAAGTACAGTATCATTTTAATTAAGGACACCTACAGAAAAAACTCTACATGTTTAAAGGCTACACCTTTATCTGCATAACACATTAAAGGCAGATCATGAGGGAAGTTTATAAACACCAGATTGGCTGCTTATGGGGAAGGGATGGGAATGGAGGTGAAAGGCAAATCAGTAAAAATGACACAAAAGAGGGGCTTTGCACAATCCAAAAAGTGATATGCATCCTCCTCAGTCTGGGTACATTAACTCAACTCTGAGCCCCTGTTTAGCCAAAGCAAGAGATTTTAATCATTATATCATTGCATTCCAGGAGCAAGAGTTTATGTGCTCCTTTGTCAATTTTCTACAGACATTTCTGTGAATTTTTATGCTACCTAAAGTTATCCAAATACAGAGAAGGGATTTAAGGCCACAGTCTCTTCTATGATGACTACCATGAAATGAGAACTACATTCCTACAGCATTTGGAGCAGCGCTCCACTTCCCTATGCCTCATGCAGGAAGAGAACAAGGACAGTGTGTTCCGGAGAATCAGCTGCAGCTGGCCACAATTTAATTAGGGGCATAACACAAGAATTTTCATAGCAGCACCTTCCATAACAGCAAAAAACTGGAAACAATCAAATGTACATCATCAGGAAAATGGATAACCTGTGGTATGTCCACACAATAGAATACTATACAGCAATTAAAAAAACAATTGAGTACATTACAGATGTATTCAATAACTTGAATTGATAGCAGAAACAATTTTGAATTAAAAACACACACACAATATGTTTCCATATATAAAAAATTTCAGGTATACAATGTAAATAATATGTTGCTTATACTGTTTGGGGATATAAACATACATAGTGAAACCTTAAAGAAAGGCACAGAAAGACATATATAAAATTCAGAATGGTGGTGACCTGAGAGCAGGGCAGGGAGATAGTGCAATTGGAGAATGGCTGATAGGAAATTTCAAAGGTAAAAATAATCCTTCCTTTAACTGGAAGGTGGGTAATACAGGTGGCCCTCCACTGTGTTGTTTTCTTTACACCTTACACATATTATATTGTTATTATTTTGTATCTGTCTGATATTTAATAAAAATATTTTAAGTGGTTTTAGAAAGAGTAATAGGATGATTCTAGACCTCAGTAGCCAGAATTAGGTTAGAGAGATTTTAAGAAAAACTTCATACCTGAATTAAAATTTTTCTTGTATAATCTGATGGCTGATTTTTCCCTGTGTCTGACATAGTTGTAAACTCAAGACCGTAAGTTTCCGAGTCAGCATCCCTGTTAACTATGAAGTTATGGTGACTCTACCTGTGTTTACTATGCCTGGTTTTATCTCATTGTTTAGAGGTGAATTTCTAGGCCTGAAAAATTAGGGAAAAGTGAAATAAAGATTTGGAAAAGAGTTTCTATATAAATGGATGACTGAAACATCTATCAAACAGTTTGCTTTTAAAAAATAAACTAGGCATCATAGGCAAAAAGAAAAAAACTGGTAATATTAGGATGAGAACTTCCAAAGCAGTAGCTCCTATCCTGCCATTGGTTTGTCTCAATGACATGACCATAAAAATGAAATAAGAAATTCATTTCACTAATTTAACCTTTCCTAATGAAGGGTATAATATAAATAGCACATGACTATACACATAGCCTTTTTCTTTGCACCTTTGGCATAAAGAAAGAGCAAGTTCAGAAAAGCACTAATTCTGGTCCTGAAAACCTGTTTTGATTGCTTAAAGCTCTTGCATATAAACAAGACTGTAATATCTGGGGCTTTAAACTTCTGAAAGGTATAACTTCACCTATTTGGATCCAGATATAGGCTACACTGTAAGATATGACAAAAGATGAACTTATTCAGACTTTTATAAAATCCTTTCATAGTACTCAAATGGTAGTTATAAATGTTTGTTAAAAAGCCATTACCCCTAAGGTGGCCAATTTGGTCTATTCATCTATCTACTTATTTCTAAGTATTTACTGATGAAATGCAATATGTGTAGCACAACACAAGGGTCTGAGAAAGACATCAAAGCATATTTGCTGTCCACTGAATTATAACCTAACGGGGACAAAGGCATGCAGACTGTGCAACTGTGAATTAAACACCCAAACGCATGCAAGACATAAAGGTGGAGAAAGGGGGTGTCAGCACTACCTACAACCTCAGGGAAGGTTTGACCCTGAAGGAGAAGTGGTATTGAGGAGTGTGAAAGGATAGAAGGAAGACATTGCAGGCCAGAACCTTGAAAGCAAGTCAGAAATGCTTGTGTTACACTGCAAAAGTAGAGAATACAACAGGCTTTGATGTAGTGAAGGCCTGGGACATTCTAGCAGGTGGGCTGGAGTGGGGCTAAGCTGTCAAGAACCTAGAAGGCCAGGATAATGACGTGAACTGATGTGAGGATAACAGAGTCAGGGGGAGACTTCTGAGAGGGTCTGCACAGGATGCACTCAGTGTTTTAGTAGCACCCTGGAGAGGAAGGGGAGCAAACGAGAGGGTGGGGAAGTAGCTGAAAGAAATGTGCTGAGGCCTGGATAACCAGGAGTGCTGACAGGAGAGGAGGTGGCAGACAAGTGAGGGCAAAGACAGACCCTGGCAGTCTTTCTCCCTCCCTCTCTTCCCTCATGTCACTGCTGAAGTACTCTTTAAAACATTAATTTTGAAATACCTTTCCAATCCTTTTTATAATAGACTGTTTACTATTATATTACTCAAAATCAAAAACAAAATTCCACAAACTTAATGGTTCCCTACCACTTTGCCACATGGCCCTGAAGACCTATCCAGCTGGGATGTCCTCTCCAGCCAGTGCCGACTGGCTGCCTGCTGTATGTATGCCATGTCCCTGCCCTCATGAGCCCACAGTCCAGTCCAGCCAAACCAATGCCCCCCCCCCGAGTCCCCTAAGCTCGTGCTCCTCATACCTTCAGGCCCCTGGCAGGAATGCTGCCCTCTCTCTGCAGCTGACAAGCCCTAATTACTCTGCTCACATTTCTTCAGTAGCCCTTTTCACAGCAGTACTAGCCAGCACCCTCTCTCTTGCTGAAGGCAGCACTCTGTCTTGGTCAGGCTCATTTAGGAAGTATGTGTAGGAGTAAACTGACCGCCGGAGATAAAACACCAGGAAGACACCAGCTGCCCAGGGCTCCTCTGATTTCCTGCTGTTTAAAGGGGATACCTGAGTTTGCTCTGTGGCTTCAAGCCCCTGGTGGAAGCGCTCAGCAGCCTGATGTTCCCGAAGCCCAGAGAGGGGGGCCTGCTCAGTGACTCAAGCGAGGGGCTCTTCCGGAGATAAGGGTCAGGCTTCAAGTCCTCAGCCCTTCCCGTTAGGAGATCTGTGTGAACAACATCATCACCACCTACTCCTGAAGAAGGAAGTTTGGTTACCAAGTACAATTCTCACTTTATTCTCCAATACAAATACATTATACAGATACAGATATAGACATATAGATACAGTTACTGGATTAAGTAGTAAAAATGCAAATAGGGACATGGTATTGTCTAGAAAAGATTGTCCAGGCAGGACTGACAACGTAATCCAAAGGGACGCATGCCATACTAGCCCCATGTTCAAAAATGACGCTGAATGTCAGTGGCACCCTCACAGCACCGACCCGAGGCCCCCCGAGAGCCCTGTGCACTGAACTGGCCACCCTCTATGGAGCCAGCCTGGCCCCAAGAAGAGTGCCTTGCTTTAATTGACGGGCATCTGAGCAAGCAAGCCAGCGGGAGGATGCCTAATACGATCATCGGGACCCAGGTGGCAGCAGAAAAAGCCAGGGACCAAGAATGATCAACTATTTTACAAGAGAAGAAGCCTTTCCAATCACAGACTGCCTCGCTAAAATCATTCTTTTAAGGCTCCTCTCTGCTGTCCTGTTCATCTGAGTAAAAACAGGTAATGAAACGGGCTGAATCCTCTGGCTGGTATTCCTTACAGGACCACAAAAGTGTGGAATGGGAGAAAACTTCCAAGATTGTCTTGTTTGTCTTTACAGAGGAAATGGAACTCAGAGAATTAAGTGATTTGGTCAATAGTACACAGGCTGAGCCCACCATCACCTCCTATGACACCATAAATAATCACGGAAGAAAACAATACTTGTACCGCTAATAGCCACCAATTATGGAAAGTGGAGTTGTGAGTGAAGCTAATTAGGTTGGAAGAGCAGAGAAAAACAGTGTTTACATCACTGAAGAGAACAACAAAAACAGCACATTATTCCCGTTTCTGCAGTTTCTGATGACCTCAGGGTCAGCACAGCTGGCCTGAACACAGAATTTTCACCATGTAATACTTTTTTAGTATAGTAAACAGAATCATCCAGGTACACAGGTGCCTGGTGGGGAGCAAAGGAGAGCGCTGACCACAACCTATTTACTTTGGGGCAGGAGCCGTTCTGGTCTCAGTCAGTATTCACATGATCAGCTAAAAGAACAGCTTCTCCATACAGAAGGACATTTTAAAGCTGGAGGAACAGAGAGGACAAGAATATGGCCAAAAGCTCATCTAGTACACTTATACATGGTTAAAATGGTAAGTTTTATGTCTGAGGTATTTTAGCACAATTAAAAAAAAAAGGAAAACCTTTTTTTATACACATAGCCTTTGCATATTATCAAGTTATTCCCTAGTTTATACTACATGGCAAAGTGGGAACTCCCATCAGGCAAGTTTCCAATACTCCTCTTTGACTGCCCTCTCACCTCTGGTAAAGGGCACTTGCTTTGCACAGGAATCCAACCTGCTCTATTGGCCTCACCCCTTCTGCTTTTTCTTATTCTCCTGACTTAGACTGGTTTTGGCCAGCATTTCCTTTTCCTGAAAGTCATTATTATGATGCAAAGCAACTGCCAGCCTCATTACCAAAAGGCAACACGGGAGAAAGAATCAGGAAAAATCCTTCCTGGTTCCAGAGCCACTCAAAATCAGTGTGGCCACTGCAAATCACTCCATCTCTTTTAGGGCCTGGATCCCTCACATGTGAAATGCAGGGAACGGGCTGAGACAATCTTTAAATTCTCAGTGTCATGGTTTATCTAAGATCCTTATTAATTCCATGAAAAAGAAAAAAAATTCAGAAAGGAAATAAATAAGGTGAAAGAATTTACAATCAAAGAGTGAAATGTACCTCATAGAAGCAACTACTTTAAGAATAAGCCTGTTGGATCATGATCTCAAAGAAGTAAAGTGGGAACTTCTTTTGTTCACACCATGTTACAGCAACTTGGTCTTATACTTAGAGACAAAGATTTCTATCTATGCAGTCTAGAAATTTGGCTTCTCTCCTTCCTATGGGCACCAGTAAATAAATCATTGAATGTTCCTTTTATCTTTCTGGTTTCCTCATAACAGTAACCACACAGACACAGACATAAATTCTACAGTGTATTATTATGGGCAACCTTCACGTTCTCCCATGTGTCTCTGTTCTGCATGTGAAACAATGCAACAGGCAACAGTATGTAAGGTGATCCAGCCAACACCTACACAGGCCCACCCCACCCCAGCTGCGTCCTCCCAACCCTCAAAGCAGTCCTACAAGACAGCAGCACTGTTTGTTCTAGAGGCGAGGGAGCCACAGCGCAGAGCAGTGGGATGACTGTGGGGAGCAGAGCCACGAGTTAAACCCAGGAGGTCACTCCCATGTCCCTGCCTTAACTGCTGCCTCACAGGGGCCATCAGCACGAGGGGCACAGTAGGAATGAGAATGTGACACTACAGGGGCTCTGATGACATCCACAGCTCCACCATGGGGATCTGAATGTTTAAATATATACGATGTAACAACAGGAAGAGGTTTATGCCCAAAGACAAAGATATCTGAAAAGAGGCATATTTTAGGAATTGTGGATGCAACAGACCTTTGGAATCAGATAAAATTTTTTCCTAAAATAGTTATGTTTAAAAATAAGACATTCTCTTGAGATCCAGTAAAAAACAAACAATAAAACTCCCAGAGTGTGACATTTCTCCCAAACACACACACAAACTGGGAAGTGCAGCTAGTGGCAAATGGGTTCTAACATCCGTAACACATACAGTTATAGTTGGAAATCATTTGGGATAAATGATTTTTTTTGGGGTAAATGATTATTTTTCTAAGCTCAGTTTCAAGCAAAGAAAAGAAAAGTTAACCCCATAAAAAAATAAAGGTAATTTACCAGAGAGGGGAAGGTCAGGAAGATCTAAGCGCTGAGCCACTCCTTTGCTGGCCGACCGGGCGCTGTTGTAAGTCGAGTGCCTCTGAAAAACCAAAGGGCACACCAGCCGAGGTGAACGTATGACACCAGGAACAGCACAGACAAGGTGTGTGCATGTGGGTATGTACAACAGTTCTCAAGCTCACCAGAATCACTGGGGGTGGAGGGGAGCTTTTAAAACTAACTATTTATTTGAATAGGTAATAAATACAACTGGCACCATCCTCAAAAGGAATAGAAAAGACATACAGTGAAAAGAAAATCTCTGTTTCACTCCCATCACCCAGTTATTCTCCCCAGGGGGTGGGTACTTATTATGAATCAGCTTTATGAATACCTTCCTGGAATATTCTGTGTAGGTTCAAGGATATGTGTAAAAACCATTTTTTAGTGGCTAACAGGTATGTGACAAGATGCTCCACATCACTCATCACTGGAGAAGTGCCAACCCAAACCTAAATCAGGTACCACCTCACACTGTTAGGATGGTCATGATAAAAAAGGAAAAAACAACAAAAGTAACAAGGATGTGGAAAAATTGGAACCATTGTGCACTGTCAGTAGGAATGTAAAATGGTGCAGCCACTATAGAAAATAGGAGGGAGGTTTTGCAAAAAATTAAAAATAGAACTACCATATGATCCAGCAATCCCACTCTTGGGCATATATCCAATGAACTGAACACAGGATCTTGAAAAGATATTTGCATTCCCATGTTCATAGCAGAATTATTCACAACAGCTAAGAGGTGGAAACAACCTAAATGTCCATCAATAGGTGAACGATAAAGAAAATGTGATATTCACAAACAACAGAATATTATTTAGCCTTAAAAAAGGAAATCCTAAAAAAAAAAAAAAAAAAAAAGGAAATCCTTTTCAAACAATATGGCTTC